CCCTTCATCAGAAAAGGGTTTTCTGATGAAGGGTCTAGGCCCGAAACGTCAGCCTCTCTGCTCCTATGATGCTGCTTGGCCTGCTGTGTTCATCCAGCCCTGCACATTGTTGTAGTGAATAAGGTTATCTCAGAGTACAACACGGCCTTGATCAGATGGGCTGAGGAATGGCAGATGGAGTTTAATTTAGTTAAATGTTAGGTGTTGCATTTTACAACACAGAACATAGAACAGTACAGCTCAGTACAGGCCCTTTGGCCCACGATGTTGTACCGACCTATTATCCTACTAAGATCAATCTACCCTGCATATCCTACATTTTACTCTCCTCTATGTGCCTATCCAAGGGTCGCTTAAAAATCTCTAAATTATCTGACTCCACTATCACTACTGGCAGCGCATTTCACATGCCCACCACTCTCTGTGTAAAGAACCTACCTCTGACAGCTCCCCTATACCTTCCTCCAATTACCTTAAAATTTTGGAAAGGCAAATCAGGGCAGGACTTATTCACTTAATAGTAGGGTCCTGGGGAGTGTTGCTGAAGAGAGACCGTGGGGTGCAGGTTCATAGTTCCTTGAAAGTGAAGTCACAAGTAGACAGGGTAATGAAGAAGGCATTTGGTATGCTTTCCTTTATTGGTCAGCGCATTGAATATAGGAGTTGGGATGTCATGTTGCACCTGTACGGGATGTTGGTTAGGCCACTTTTGAAAAAGTGCATGCAATTCTGCCTGCTATAGGAAAGATACTGTTAAACTTGAAAGGGTTCAGAGAAGATTTACAACAATGATGCCAGGTTTGAGGTACAGGAAGAAGCTGAATAGGCTGGGGCTATTTATCCTGGAGCGTCAGAGCTTGAGGGGTGACCTTATACAGGTTTATAACATCATGAGGGGCATGGATAGGGTGAATAGCCAAGGTTTTTTTCCCAGGGTAGGGCAGTCCAAAACATAGGTTTAAGGTGAGAGTGGAAAAACTTAAAAGGGACCTAAGGGGCATCTTTATCATGCAGAGTGTGGTGCGTGTATGGAATGAGCTGCCTTTCAGAAGGCTTTCAACAAAGTCCCACTTAAGAGACTAACAAGTAAAAATTAAGTGTATGGGATTGGAGGTTGTGTATTGAGATGGTAGAAAATTAGCTCGTAGACAATCAACTAAGAGTAGGAATAAACAGATCCTTTTATGAAGACCAGACAGTGAATATGGGGTAGTTCAGGGGTCTAGGATCCCAACTATTCACAATATATGTTAGTGATTTAGTTGAGGGAACTAAATGCAATGTCTCAAAATTTGCAGGTGGCACAAAGCTGGGTGAAAGGGTGAGCTATGTGGAGGATGTAGACATGGCAGTATGATTTTTATCAGGCTGAGTGAGTGGGCAAATGCATGGCAGATGCAATGTAATTTGGATAAATGTGAGGTTATCCACTTTGATAGCAAAAACAGGAAGGCATATTATTATTATTTGAATGGTCGTAAATTGAGAGAGGGGAATATTCAGAAGACCTGGGTGTCTTTGTAGACTGAAAGTAAGTGTGCAGATGCAGCAGGCAAAAAAAAGGCAAACTGTATGTTGGCTTTCATAGTGAGAGGATTCAAATACAGGAACAAGGATATCTTGCTGCAATTATACAGGGCTTTGGTCAGGGCACACCTGGAATATTGTGCGCAGTTTTGGTCTCCTAATCTGAGGAAAAATGTACTTGCTATAGAGGGAGTGCAGTGAAGGTTTACCAAATTGGTTCCTATAATGTGGAGGGGCCGGTTTTGGGCTCGGGTGGACAAAGTCAAAGTCACATGCTTATAGTCCAACAGATTTATTTGAAATTACAACCTTTTGGAAAGCTGCTTCTTCATCAGGTGAAGTGGAGGGAAGTGCACAGGCATAGAATATATAGGCAGAGAGATAATGGCAAGGTAATTCCAGATAATTAAGAGTGTCAACAGATAAGACTTTAAGACATAGGAGCAGAAATTAGGCCATTTGGCCCATCGAGTCTTAATTGCTTGGATTTATCTTGCCACTGTCTCTCAGCCTAAATATTCTATGCTTGTGCGCTTCCCTTTACTTCACGAAGGAGCAGCACTCCGAAAGGCTGTAATTTCAAATAAACCTGTGGACTATAACATGGTTTTGTGTGATTTCTGAGATTGGTTCCTGGGATGGTAAGACTGAGGAAAGATTGATTTGGTTAGGACTGTATCCACTGAAGTTTAGAAGAATGAGGGATATCACAGAAACCTATAAAATTCTAACAAGACTAAGGCAAGTTGGATGGTTGGGAACAGTGGTCATAGTTAAAGGATAAGGGGTAGACCTTTAAGGACTGATATGTGGAGAAATTTCTTCACTCAGAGAGCAGTGAATCAGTGAAATTCACTGCCACAGAAAGTGGTTGAGGCCAAAACATTTTTTATTAATAAGAGAGTAGATATAACCCATGTGGCTAAAGGATCAAGGATATGGGGGGGAGGGCTGGATTAGGATATTCAGCTCGATGATGAACCATCATCATATTGAATGGTGGAACAGGCTTGAGGGGTTGAATAACTTACTCCTGCTCCTATCTTCTACGTTTTTAGTCAATAGACTCTTAAGTGAATGCTTAAGGGCCTCAATTGGAGATGGGGTGGGATGGTGGAGCATTTCTTAAATTTATTAATCTATCTAGCAATTTTGATTGTTGACAGACAATAGACATGAAATCCAGAATATTTCTATTGTCATTTAAATATAAATGGGAAAATTAAGATGAGTCATTGAGTACATTCCATAGCACTTTCCACCTACACGATGGAATAAATATTTTGTGGGACACCCGACCATCAGCTGGCAACCCATTTACTTTTCCATGTTGTACATAGAACATAGAACATTACAGCGCAGTACAGGCCCTTCGGCCCTCGATGTTGCGCCGACCTGTGAAACCAATCTGAAGCCCATCTAACCTAAACTATTCCATTATCATCCATATGTTTATCCAATGACCATTTAAATGCCCTTAAAGTGGACGAGTCTACTATTTTTGCAGGCAGGGCATTCCACGCCCTTACTACTCTCTGAGTAAAGAACCTACCTCTGACATCTGTCCTATATCTATCACCCCTCAACTTAAAGCTACGTCCCCTTGTGCTAGCCATCACCATCCGAGGAAAAAGGCTCCCACTGTCCACCCTATCTAATCCTCTGATGGTCTTGTATGTCTCTATCAAGTCACCTCTTAACCTTCTTCTCTCTAACGGAAACAGCCTCAAAACCCTCAGCCTTTCCTCATAAGACCTTATGTTGTGTTTGGTTTTAGACAGTAAAGTTCTAAGATTTGGTTTTGAGATAGAATGTTTTTATTCAATTGTCCCCAATGGAGATTTTTGTATCTTGTGATGCAAGTTCCCACATTAAGGGCCTGAAATCTTTATTAAAAGACAACATAGATTCTTTGTTGCAGAATGAAGGAGGAATAACAGGA